ACATCAATTTATCAAATTATTTACCTAGGTGAACATTAAATTTTTTTATTGTTCTGGTGTCATGATATTATTAATATATTATAATTTTTATAACATATTTCATAAAACCATGATAATATAAATTTAAATAAAGGTGATAATTGTATTGTTATAAACTAGTTATAACTATTACAGTTATATATAATTAACTACATAATAAAATAACTTAATATACTGTTTTTAAAATAAAAAAGAACAAAGWCTTTAAAACCTTATTAAATTGTTAACAAACATCAAATAATCAGTTATAATTAATTTTAAAAATTATACAACAAAATCCAATTTATAGTATATAATACAGCATTGGAAATATTGAAGGCTAGAGGGGTTGACGGGCGTTCACCCCCTTGTATACGCCCCTGCCCCTTGCCGGGCCCTGCATAGAATTTAATGTAGGTATAAATATTATACCGACGAGCGACACAGAATTGAGAAGCGCAAGCGAGAGCTCACGACGGTGGCAGTCATCATAAGGAGGCAGGAGCGTGAGGTAACACTGCGCGATTGGCAGGTGATTTGGGACCACACGACGAAGGCGGAGTGGACGAGGAGGATGGTTCCAGACATCAGGAGGTGGGTGTATCAGTCAAGACTTGAAGTCATGACATTCCACATGGCCCAGGCGTTGACGGGTCACGGATGCTACCAGCACTACCTGTGGAAGAGGAAAAGGGCAGCTAACCTCTACTGCATGCACTGCGAAGAGCCGGAGGACACTGTGGAGCACACCTTGTTTAACTGTCCGTTCTGGGCAAAAGACAGACGAKAGATGGGGCAATGCGTCGGCCGGCCACTACGGCCCAATGATGTGCCGGATATCATCCTGGGGCCAKAGCAGGAGCTCCTTCCAGATGATGCGTTCAGGAGGCGACGTATTGAGGCGATGGCGGAGAAGCAGAGGTTGGCGTTTGGCAGGATGGTGGAGGCGATTCTCGGGCGAAAGGAGGATGCAGAGCGGTCCAGACAGGCACGATTAATATATGGTGGTTGAATTTGTGGGCTGAAGGCCAAATACCTGGGGTGGTTAGAGGCGGCCCCCACGTATGTATATATCTTTGTTGTAAGTTTTTGTTATGGTGAATAAACGATACGGGTTCGGGTGGCAGTATTGTGCTGAACAGTTCCCACCCGTTCCCGGTTTCAAGAAGGAAAAAAAAAAGGTATAAATATTATAGGAATTTAGAGAAAAAAGGCTTACTGAAAAGGACCGGTTATCAAGATAGGATTTAATTAAAAGAAAGTAAGGTGAAGGGAGAAAGTGCTTAAGTTTGAAAAGAAGTCCGTCATGCCAAACGCGATCAAAGGCCTGTGATATATCGAGGAATACCGCAGGGCAAAATTGTTTTGACTCGAAAGAGGATGACATTTTATCAACGATTGGATTTGTTGAGTTGTATTATGTTTACGACGAAATTCAAACTGAGATTTAGGTAAAATATTTTGTTGGTCAATTAGTGGCGAGATTCTATGTAAAATTAGTTTTTCGAAAAGTTTGG